TTTTCTAAAACATTGCCTCTAAGCATCTTCTTCCTCTATTATATACACACACACACACACACTATATATATATATATATTATGTAGATTTACTATTTTATATTAGGGTTAAAAATATTAACTTTTTACCTGTATAATTTTACTAGTTAAAATCACATGAACTTATATTGTTCAATGTTTGATTATCCAAAACGAGTTAATTAGTATTTTATAATTTTTGTAATTTACAAATAATTAATTCTACATTATTTTTAGATTTATTACAAACATAACTTTAGGATGATAATGATGGACTTTCTTCAATGTAATAATTATAATGTTTTCGAGTGAAATTATATTTCATAATACTCAAATCTTTTTCTGTTCGGTTAAAAAAAAAATGGGTCATCTATGTTAAAAAAAAAAAAAAAAAAAAACTATTCCAATGTTGAAATTTGAATTTGATTTAGGAAGGTTATAAATTTATCATTCAATAATTTACAAGCAGAAAAATTGATAACTTTATTAATTACAATATAATCTTCAGTTGTTTTCAGATCTATACTGAAATTATTTTGAAGAAAATTATATTTTATGATATACAATTTAAAAAATTACATTTTTTAAGGAGTTAGAAATTAAAACCTACTTTTACATAAACAAGTAAAAGTAAAGTAAATTAGAAGGTTATTGATGACGACAACTAATTATTTTTATTATTGAATATTTATATAATTGAATAGTTATAATTGTAAATATATATATTTTTTTCATATACATAAATCATAAAATAATAATAAAAATATAGCAATATGTGCAACTTTATATATATATATCTATATAATAATTATATATTTATATTAGTCAAACAAGTTAACAATTTGCTTTAAACAAAATTATAGTTAGTTAACTATATATATATATATATACCCCTTGGAGAGGATTTTTTTTTTTTTTTTTTGCAGAGATAGAGCACAAAAAGTGATATATATATATAATGTAAGAGAGTGGAAATAAAATATAAAATTTGCAAACAATTTTGCAGTGCCTCTCCTTTCCCATGTGGGAGGTTTCAGATTATTCTCCCTAAACAAATATAACATCCCACGTTTTGCATTTTGCTTTATATCTATATCTATATCTATATCTATATATATATGGATTTGACGGTCGAGATATATCAAACTTTACCCAATACTAAATATGTCTATATGAAATATTATTAATTTTTTTAGCCCACCACAAACCTTTTTACTATCAAATCCAAGATTTTAAATTTTTAAATATGCAAAGTTTAATCAATTATAAGATGTTC